AGGAAAGGCTCTCTGATAAAAGTATATTTTAACACAGGATTTAAAGTGATCACTAACACACTGAAATAGTGGCCCATCATGCCCTATATGCCAAAAGCTACACATAGTGTGCCTATAATCATAATAACAATAGGACTATATGGATTTCTGCAGGGAAATAACCTTGCAGCTCAAAGTGATTGGTTAGACAGTGTATGCATCCATTGATATGTCCATAGCTTTTAGCAAACAGTATATATACCACACGTTTTATACTGTATGCAAATAATTGTAAACACATTATTGCAGGGAATCTGATTTTTTGAAGTTTATTCTTTCAAACTGACAAAGTGCACATCATTGTTGACAACTTTTTAACTGTGTACATTCATCATAATAACCTCAGATCTGGACAGAAGGTTTAAAGAATATGAGTAACCCTCATCAGACTTTTGGTAATCCCAAAAAGGTCTTGTAGGCACCAAAGCTGTGTCCTTTACCTGTGAAGAGGGAATAAAGATGCATCTGTGTTCTGGCCATTAAGGTACGCAAGTTATTCTATTCTGTACAATGCAACATGCATAGTTGTCCTTTATAAACACTGCTTGTGACACAGTTAAGAAGTGTTGACATGCATTTTATGAAATGCAGAGCTTGGTGATTCTTATGTATATAGATTCAGCAGATTTTGATCATGACACTCAATCACTACTTTACTCAAAAATTAAAATAAAATACAAAGGTCGGTCCTGCTGTTCAAAAAGTTTGACTGGAGGACAGGGTGAGGAGGGATGTCTAAGCCTCTTTTAACTGTAAGCTGTAAAACTTTAAGTGTACAGGGGGAATGCTGAGCAGCAGAATCAGGAATATGATATTTATGGCTCTCAGTGCTCTCACTCACACATTCACCTATAGGTGATACACGCACAAAGCTTGGATCGTTACTTACAAGTTGGAGCCTTCCTCTCCACGATCCAGTAGCAGAATCCCATCCTGGCTCGGTTATTGAACATGTTCCTGTACTGGGGCATGTTTTGAGGTGAGGTTTTTTCATGGTTGATGCCTACAGAGGAACATGTGATAGTGAAACCACTCGGAAGCAAATCAAACATAAATATTTAAACTCTGGTTAATGTGAGACCTACCGTAGGCTCGCACTGTGGAGGGGATGTGAACAAGAGCTGCAGGTTCGTCCTGAGTCAGAGCAGGTAACAGGCTGCTGGCAGCGTGTTTTGATTCATACACTAGGGTACATAATGAAACCAATGTTCCTTGGTAACAGATCTCTGTTTGTACTGTGCTCCAGTTTTATTTGATTACCTGCACCAAGGAGGTAATGTTTTCACCCGTCCATTGATTTGTGAGATTTTTTAAGCAGAATTATACAAAAACTACTGAATGGATTTTTAAAGAAACTTAGTAAATAGATGGGATACAGGCCGAGAAAAAAGTAATAAAGTTTTGACAAAGTATGAGGTGGAATGTTTTTATCACTTTCTTTAAAATTGTGAATAGGGCTTTTTTACCAAGTACATTTTCGGCAATTTCTCAGGGAATAATTCATGGATCCCATGGAAGTAAAAAATCGTGGATATTGATGACTGATATATTTGAATGTGAGTAATTCAGGTTGATTGAATTGAAGGGGACTGGCCTTGGTGGAGGTTTGTTAAAAGGATAATTTGTACAAACCTTGGTCCTTCAGCAAGGCAGCTGGAACTGATGTAAGACAACCTGGTACCTACAGGTGAGAATAACATCAAACAGTATCACATGGATACAAAGTTAGTAAGTATTAATAAATCCTGAGTGTTGAGTCTGTACATAGGAGACGATTTTCCTTTAACTCATCTTACCATTGTTTTCATTTTGCTCCAGTGATCTGTCTGGAGATGTGGAAACATCGCTGGGTGACTCCTTGGCCAGAAAGTCATACTGCAGTTAAAAAGAGAAGGACCATTAGTATTATTTATCCTCAATTCATTCTGTTGAACTGAGTCACATCATCCACAAACACTGGTTCTATAAATGTGTGTGAGACTTACTGCTCTCGTCTGAAACGACTCGAGTCCCATGTTTGTTTCTTTTCTCCTTCCTGCATGTTGCTATTAATACTGCACTCGGTTCCCGTCATCTCGCACAAACACAAAGAGGGGTTATGTTACGTTGTCTCTTAGCAACATGTTTGGCAGCAGTATTCCTTCTTCAAAAACCCAGAGAACTTCATGTGCTTAATATCAGTGAATTACAAAAATTAGAACAAAGAACTTACCATAAAATCTACTTCTTGTTTTTGACATCACAGTTATTTCTAAATCATCAATCGGGAGATACATTTATAAAACAGACTTCTGAATATCCAACTAAGCCATGTCTGTTTTTTGGCATTCAATTCAGTTTTATTTGTATAGCGTCAAATCATAACATACATTATCTCAAGGCACTTTACATGGAAGGTGAAGACCTTAATAATTAGAGAAACCCAACAGTTTTTCCAAAATAAGCAGCACTTTGGCTTTGGTCATTAGTCTCTACTGTTTTAACTGTGTTTCTGTATTTCAAAATAAAAAGATGTCATAGCTTTGTAGTCAGTCTGTCTGTCTGTCAGTTTTTTGCACCAAAACAGAAACATTTCCTTCTATACGCCAGATATTTATGTATATATATTTTTACTTATTTTTACCTATTTAGCTTCTTTTCATGTACATAGCTTTTGTTCTTGTTTATGTCTATGTTTGTTTGTTTGTTTTAACTGTTTGTACTAAGAGAACTAAGTTAAATCGGAGTCAGATTCCTTGTGTGTGTTCACATACCTGGCAATAAAAGTGATTCTGATTTTATTTTTAGGGTTGAGGATATAACTAAAATAAATACTCTTCATAGCATGTTCCCACCAGTAAGTATATATTTCATTTATGCACAAATAAACAATTTAAGTCTCTGCGATACAGTAGCTAGATCTGAATTTAAAAATAGTTCCCTAAAAGAACAATGGAGGGAAAAAAAACACAAAGACAAAACTATAAGCCCCTCACCCACAGCGTTCAACAGCAAAATCTTTGAAACTTGAGGACAATGTAATCACATCTTTAGAAGAGACTCTGCCCCTTCACAACCCAACAGATTTAAGGCGTAAAAGCTAAAGAGTGTTTCTTTCTACAGCTCAGATAACAAAATAGTGTTTTCTAAGGGGAGTATTGAAGAAAGCAGGTATGACGAGTCATCCCCCATAGCATACTACAGCCTCTGCACATTTGAAATACTTTTCAGTTATTAAACCTGGACAATAGGTGCAACTACAGGGGGTAATGAAGATGTACAAAACTTTAAGTAGAATGAGGTCAATGAAGTACAGTACTAACAGGAGAGTGGAGCTCTTGGTCAAACAGTTGGTCCAAACTCAACTAGTCCTGAAAACATCTATGTGGGTGGGCTGAAGGTTACAGAGGGTTGCACAGCATACTTCCTATTCTTTCTAAATGGTGAACAGAAATTCACCTCTAATTGATTGATTCCATGAAAAAATATTCTTGTGAATTAAAGACAAGAATATTTAGAAATAATTTAGAAGTAAACATTGAAATCCTTATAAAACATTTTAGAGAACAAACAGTGCTCTTCCACAGAGGACGCTGTCATCACTTTATACTGTGTACAAGCTCCACTTACTGAGAGGAAAGACCTACTTGCAGTACTTGCTGCTGAGGAAGACATTTGCTAAAGCCACAGAGTGAAGAGGAAAAACTGGTAGCAGATCAAACAAAGTCTTATTTGGAGGAAATATAACTTCTACCCTAATCCATTTTATCCTATTTTTTAAATTTTGTCTTTCCTTTCTGGTTATGTGTTTGCTGCCCAAAAGTAAACAATGTCCTTTCAGTTTCGTGTCTCATTCCTCCTGGCCTTGGATCCTCTCCAGTAGATGCTGCTCTACTCGCTGGTTCATGCGGTGCAGATCTTTCAGCACACTGGGTCGATCTTCCAGTTCTTCATGGAGACACCTCGCTATTTCCAACCTCCTGTAGTCTTCAGGTCGCACAAGACGCCGAATTACCTGAACAGCACGATCCTTGAGGCTGTAAACTGTATAAAAGAAAATAATTTTCTTTTAAATTACTGAATAACAAAAAACGAATTGGTATCAGTATAAATCAAATGTCATTTGTTCAGAGGAATATGGCAGGATTACAAAGGTTTGGTTTCAATCACCAAAATGCACTGAGACTGGCTAAATTATTTACACACTGTCTTTTACCTTCCATACTGCACCCTTACAGTAACTGGTCACTTTTGCATCTGACTTGCTTTGTTTTATTTACCTAGAATCCCATTTCTATGATGAGGTACATATGCTATAATTTCTATTTAAATTACATTTTTAAATGAATGACATGCCTTTTCTTTTCTGTGCCAACTGACAGGCAGAACATAAGCTTGATTTTCTGCTTTACAAATGACAAAACGAATCAGAGTAAACCCTTCACATCAAGATTATTTACCTGAGTTTATGTAAGAGACTTCTGGAGCTTTTTAACATAGTTTTGTTATAATTCCAGCACCACAAGCCTTTTTTTTCTCTTGCCTTATTATACAAATGTAATCTGATTACTAATATTTTAGGGTCACTTGGTAAATCTCACCTGGTAGAGTGATGGTAGCGAATGTAGCATCCCCCCCCTCTGCTGGTTTAGGAAGGAACAGCTCTTTGCAGTTCACCCTCAGTGGATCACCTGTCTCTGCATCTCTGAACATCCATGGGTGACCTGGAGGAACAGTGCACGTCAAACATTAGAAAAAGATCACACACAGCTCACTGGTGATATCATTCTAAACAAGTAACGTGATTATTCAAACTTCAAATCTAAACATCAAGTGTTGAACTAACACTGATCGGTGACTTTGTTGGTTAAATTACTATTGTTGTTGTTGACCTCCTGCGATATCTGACTGTGGTCAAGTGAGCAGACGTTCGTCTTTTCGTGGTCAAGTGAGCAGACGTTCGTCTTTTCCTGATTTCAAGTGCGTCCGTATTACAGAATTTATGGCAAATGCAGGTAGTCCATGATACAGAGCGAGCAACCCTATTACGCCACTGTAAAATCCCTTTGATCCATAATTTCTGACGAAGGTTGATACACTTGATCTCAGGACCATCCTGACTGTTTAATCATTCAGTATCAAGCATATTTACTGTATCATTTTTGAGAAATTCAGCCTCAAAGTTCATTATTTTGAATTGAAAAAGGCATTATGTGCATTATTTACTCTACTGTAAAATCCCTTTGATCCATAATTTCTGACAAAGGTTGATACACTTTAGCTAATCCTCACTCCATTCACCCATACGCAACTTACATGCAATATTGTGTGTATTTCTTTAGTTCATTTTTGAGTAAATAAAAATTCCCATTTCCCTTGCTAATTTCCGTGTGTTCTCTCCCCTTGAACATCAGCAAGGTTTGTAAGGGGGTGGAGGTGGGAGAACAATGTGTTCATATACTTCTGTATGTATGATGTTTCATTTTCAATTGTGAAAACCAATAAATAAAGTGGAAACAAAATGAGCAGTATAACCTCTTTTCATTTATTCATTTAATATTTATGTATTTATTCATTTCATCATATCATATTTTCAGAATTTTAACTAAATGTATGACTTCACAACACTTTGTGTGTGTTCATATAAAATTCTCTGAAGGTCATCGAGTCCGTACTTCACCACACTGCCAGGAAACTGAATTTGGGAAGCACTATTTACGTTCTGAGCCATGTGGCTGGTGTGATCCTCTTTGGTAAGAGGGAAGAAGTAAGGAGACAGACTATGTCAAAGGTAATATTTTTGTCAGCTACAAAAACAAAGTAGAACAGTATGTCAATTGTTTACAAGTTGGCTGTCTGTGTGTGTGTGTGTGTGTGTGTGTGTGTGTGTGTGTGTGTGTGAGAGAGAATTAAGATTAATCAAATAAAAACAATATTCCATTGAGCCTTTCAGTCAGTCATTCATTCATTAATGTATTTGTAGTTGCAATGACATATCTATCTATAAATTACAGGAACACACACACACACACACACACACACACGCGGGCTTGCTTGCACGCTCCAGATTCTGGGAGATTGGATCTCATTTACGGGCGTCAAGGAGCCGCTATCAATATGTGGGAAAGTTTGGATGTCTGACTTTGTAGCAAAAACACACGCAAAACAGATGTTGCACAGTCAAAGCACTAGCAAAATTAAATAACTAATTTTGGGTTTTGTTAGAGGCCGACTTTGAAACACAAATATACATATATAATACATCACAACTGCCTTCAATTCTCTCTATGTCATTACTAACTTCTAAATGATATTTCATATTTTCTCTTTTGGTTACAGTACATCAGTGCTGCAGATAGTACTGTCTATGTTCTTGATCCCGCACGCAGTGCTACCGAGCAGGCAGACTCAGACAATGCAGCAAAAAGATTGCGGTAATTAAGCAGATCTATCTGAACAGTGTGACTGAAGCAATTTCAAAACTGAATATTTCTTATATGTTTGCAAGATGTGTTTTCTTTAAATTAAAATATTTAAGTATGGATGCTATGTTGTGAATCATGCTTGCAGTAATCTGTTAAACAACATGTTAGAGGCAGCTTTACAAAACAGAAATAGGTAACAAGCAGAATTTATGCATAAGGCTGAACATAGGCAATATGGCAGAAAATACTTGTTCAATGTCCCACACATTAACAATGTCACCCTTGCTAAACACCTACAAATGTTAGAAGAGACTTGTGACCACTTAAAGACATCATTATCAACATTATAATTTTTTCCAATCAAACTTGTTAACACCATTAGCCGAACAAGTGTTACATTATTTGTAATTCTGACCCCAAAATAGTAACTCTGTCTAACTCTCTTGGCCAAACAACCCCCTTTTTCTTTACTACGACATACTCCTTACATTAACCTCTTTAAAAAATGTCCTTTCACAGTGAGTACTTCAACATGAGGAGCATCTGTCTGGGAAAAACTGACTGGGTCAATGTTAAGTGGAAAGGCGGTGTTCTGGAACACCCATTTCAGAGAGACGGGAGTAGCTGTGGTGTAATTGTCAACAAAGTAAAAAGAATATTTCTTGAAACATCAGCTTTATCTAAATGATCTACATTCATTAAAAAGGAACTTTGAGGCTGAATTTCTCAAAAATGATACAGTAAATATGCTCGATACTGAGTGAGTGAACAGTCAGGATGGTCCTGAGGACAACGGTATCAGCTTTTGTTAGAAATTATGGAATAAAGGGATTTTACAGTAGCAGAAAAGATTGGCTCGCTCCGTATCATGGACTACCTGCATTTGCCATACATTCTGTAATACGGGCGCACTTGAAGTCAGGAAAAGACGAACGTCTGCTCACTTGACCGCAGTGATATCCAAACTTCATTTGAATGATATATTATATATAATATTAATAATATTCATTAGCCTTAGGCTTTTTATACAAATACCAACAGTCCCTATATGAGCTTTCTCTTTTCTAGAAAACGTAACTCAAATGTAAAGTTATTTCAACATGATGGTGAAAAAGCTGCTTTACCAACAAACGTGGCCATCCTCCGTCCTGTCCCGGGCTGTAAGTCATCGTAGCTCTGAGCGTGGCCTTGGTAGTCTATCCACAGCGGTCGCACCACACGGGCCGTGCGGTTACAAAACACGGCGCTGATCTGTATCCGTGTGTTCAGGGATCGAACCAGGGGCAGAGGCTGATCCCCTTCCTCAGGCATCAGTGGCTAATTTACCGCTGAACCGTGAGCGCAGCGAGAGTAGCCGTGAAGCTAACGTTGGCTAGCAGCTAGCTAACGAGATATTCATAAACGAAGACCGCGGAAGTTGGCGGATCTATAAAAAGCGTAAAACAAAGTCAGTCCAAGTGGATTAGATCGTTTATAAAACCAGTAAGCTGTGACGTATTCATGGTAACAGCGCAGAAAAAGTCTCCGCTTCTCCTCAACTATCTTGTTTACATCCTCTCTTCCGGTTGGAAGTGGGACCTCAAACTCTTCTGTTCTGTGATTGGTCGAGGAAGGCATGACGACATCGGGATTGGACGTGGTCTCAGACATGTAATATATAAAGATATATGCAGTCTATAGGTTTCACAATGAATTAAATCACCAAAGCTGAACAGACCAGATATAGTGTGATAAAAACAGCCCTGTCAGCTTGTGGAGACGCTCATTCATTGAGCCTGGAGATGTAAATATTAATGTTTACGATATGTTTACAATAGATTTTGGTGAAAATTGTCCTACAACTATTTCTTCCACGTGTAAAATATTCCATTGGTGAAAACTGCTGGAGGAGAATCTAAATGACATTTTCTGAAAGAATAATTACTGATTTGTAGACTAAACCTGCAGTATGACCTGTTATTGGGTATAATTAATATTATACTGCCCAATAGAATTAAAGTTTTCAAAATTATCCGTCTATACCTGCAGCAATATTAAGACTGTTGGCTCCTTCCAAAAGGGAAATACAATATGTAATAGCCTCACTTGTTTTGGTAATTTCATTGAACAACTTTTAAATATGTAGTGATTATTTTACACCTGTAGCTATGGAAACTTTGTATTCCAATTACTCACAGTACATGGAAGCTCCACCCAGTTTCCTCCTCATAAAACACAGGGGCACAGCAGACCTTCCTGAGCACGACCACCCTCCTCTCCAGAGATTATCCCCAACCTGCACTCCATCTCAGCCACAGTGTGCTCTCGACTCTAGGTGGACACATTATCAATCTAAAGGTAGGTAGAAATAAATAGGTGACAAAAGCTTTTTATGTATTATGATTGACTTTAATAGTTACCAATAATTTTCTTCACAATGAAAAGTGTCATTACACTTGCCACATATGATGTGATATGGTAATATTTAAGTTTTGGATCCATGTCAGATTTTATATCATGCATGTATTTGTTGTTTAGTTCCCTCAGAGTGTCTCGGTCCGCTGGCGGCTCTGATCTCTCCACACCACGATGCGTCCTCTGAATGACAGCGGCTCTGTGGGCGCGCAGGACGTGGTGCGGGATGAGAGTTTGGCAGTAGTGGAGATCGCTCTGCTCAGCGTCATCTTCGTCAGCGCCTCCATCCTCAACACCTCCGTGCTCGTCGTCCTCTGGAGACAGCGCAAACAGATGTCCCGGATGCGCGTCTTCGTGTTCCACCTGTGCCTCGCGGACTTGGTGGTCGCCTTCTTCCAGGTGTGCCCGCAGCTCATGTGGGACATCACAGACAGATTCGTGGGACCGGACCTGGTGTGCCGCCTGGTAAAGTACCTGCAGGTGCTGGGCATGTTCTCATCCACTTACATGATTGTGGTGATGACGGTGGACAGATACCAAGCTGTGTGCAACCCGATGGTGAAGTTCCAGCGCTCACGCACAAGACTGAACATCCCCGTGTGCGTCGCCTGGGGCGTCTCTCTGCTGGGCAGCCTGCCGCAGGTTTTCATCTTCTCACAGGTCGAGGTAGCACCCGGTGTGTTTGACTGCTGGGCGAAATTCGTCCAGCCGTGGGGACTGCAGACTTACATTACCTGGACCACGCTGGTCATTTTTGTTTTACCCGTCATTATGATTGTTTTTTGCCAAGTGCGCATCTGCCAGGCCATCCAGATCAACCTGTACCAAAAGACCCAGCAGCGGGTAGGTCTCCCTCTGCCATCCAGCAGTGTGGCCGGTATGTCCAGAGCCAGAGTCAAGACGTTGAAGATGACAGTGTTTATCGTGCTGGCTTATATTGCCTGCTGGGCTCCCTTCTTCACTGTCCAGCTCTGGTCCGCCTGGGACACACATGCACCAAAAGAAAGTAAGTTATTATAATGTTCTCACTGGTTTCTCTGTTTCATTGTTTTTTATCGTGTCATTTGTTTGAGGGGTTCTTCCTCACCCCTGTTAACTATAAAGTTGGGGTCTCGATGAGCTCTCCAGTATGTGCGTAATAATGCACAAAACCCACAACTCCTTCGGTATCAAATTGTTCTTCTTTGCACCGTTGTGACATTTTGCGTTTCTCTTCTTATTCCAGCTGCGATTTTCACCATCCTGATGTTGCTGGCCAGTCTGAACAGCTGCGCCAACCCCTGCATCTACCTTCTGTTCAGCGACCAGTTTCCCAAAAGGCTGGTCACTCTCATGTGCCAGCGTCAGTCCAACAGTAAAGATTCAATGCACGACGAGGCGACGCTGGTCAGCACGTTGTACATGAGCTTCAAAAATGGATCCGAGCCCAAATAAGGACAACAAGAAAAAAATCCTGCATTGAAACGTGTCCCTCCTGCAGAGCATCTGAACTCCCTGTTTGGATGAGCTGTTCCTCTGAACTGAATATGTGAGGACAGGATGAAATGTGTCTCTCTGGGTCTTTGACATGTAAAGATGGTTTGTCATTGAAGTAGTCACCAGAAGACAGAACTGGGCTCTTCATGAATGGAAACTGTGCTCCAGGAGTTGGATGTTGACACATGACAAAAGCAAGTTGGACACTGAGGTTCTGTACATCCTCCTTTGGCTTGGCACATGAATCACGTTATGATGTGGAAAGTTCTGTTGTTGTGTAAAAATATTCTTCACATTTAACAGAAGCTTGAACTTTCATAAACACTTTCATGTTGACACAGACTCAGTGAGTGAGGAAAGTAAGTTGGCCAGGATAAAGAAGAATCTAATCATTTAAGTCTGTTGGGATTTTATGTCTCAGCAAATCTGGCATTTTGAATGAGTGCAATTAAAGGTACAGTGTGTAGAATTTTGTGATATGTAGTGCATGTTGCAGCTGAACACCCCTCACCTCACCCTCTCCTTCCAAACATGAGAAAGAACCTGTGGTAGCTTCAGTTGTCATAAAAACTCAAAAGGTGTTTAGTTTGTTCAGTCTGGACTAATGTTAAAAACATGGCTCCTCCGTAGAGAGGGTCCCCTCCATGTAAATATAAAGTATTTAAATATAAAGTATTTAAATATAAAGGGAAAACTACAATTGTTGCAATTTAGATGAAACAAACTAGTGAAAACATCATGAGGATTATTCTACATTTGATTTCTGCCAATAGATCCTTTCACCTGAATCTTACACACTGGAGCTTTAAGAGGAAAATACAAGTTCTTACACTACAGGACATTAAAATAACCCACAGTCCTCTGAGTTGAGTTCAATATGTAAAAATATAACATACTCAAGTGTATCCATAGCTTGAGTTACTTAAAAAACAACCAATGAATATAAATAAAAAATTAGTTGTTTAAAGCTTGAAACACAGAATCTGCCAGCCTCAAAGAAGCTGTAAAAATAAAAACTGTACATTTAAAAAACTGTGAATTACATTTGCCACTTTGATAAATATTTTCTCTCTCTTAAAATCACAGTGACTCACTGAGTGTTGGTATTTGTACAATATTGTTTATGCTATAACCAACAAAAGAAAGCAAATGTGGAGTAAAATGATATCCTCACTAATGCCTTGTCTCCTTTACTTGTGTTTAAATAGATTCCAAAAGTCTGAGACACATGAATGAGAAAGTGGTCTCAGCCTTTTAGCCCTCAGCATATATTATATATACATTATGTCCATGTATATACAACATTTGTTTATATGTCAACGTGAGAGCAGATTTATGCCAATAACATTCAAAGATTCTTCAGCAAAATGGTTATTTGCAATGAGAAACCTGAGCTTCACACACACACACACACACACACACATATATATATATTCTCACTTAAAAAAAGGATTTTCTTCATCTTATCATTGTTACGTAATGCTAAAGATATGAGTCAGACTCAAGCCTGGTGAAAACGGTATGTGCTTTAGCTGCTTGACAACACTGAGACTAAGCATGAAGCCTTCCCTTGTTGAAACAGCAGCAGAGCACAATCGTTACACAACATGTCCTGTTTCACTTCAGCCACATCTTGGTGAATATACAACTCAGAGTAAAAAGCTTTTTAAAACATTTTTATTCTGAGCAGGACTTTCAGTCAAACCTGAAAATCAACCACAGACAATTAATTCTTTCTGCCATGATTTTGTGGAATTAGGAAATGATTAGATCAAACTGTGTGTCTGTTTAAAACTGAAAGGGTTTGTTCTTCATGATTATTATTGATTATGACAAAATAATCAGTAGCATGATTACAGCATGGTAAGAGGAATCCTTCTCATCCACATGCAAGTCAAAGCTCTTGTCTAGTTTTAGCACTAAACAGGTAAACACTGGTAAATAAAGATTTTAAAGAGTCGCTCTTTTCTCCAGATGTATTTTATTATCTTATTCCATGAACGACAATTTATAAAAATGTTATCATACAGCCCGAGAATTGTTCCGTCATCGTCCTGGCTGTTTGCTTCAGCAACCTGTCAAGTTGAAAGGTTCCAATGCTTCTTTGTGATTGGTTGGATTCATTTTTTCCTCAGTTCTGACCAGTTTCTCTGACCATGCTTCTGAAAACACATCAGCTCATGAACAAATCACTAGCCTGATCATTTACTGAAGTAAATAAGACATTTAAATCCTGATATTGATTCCAGCCTGTTGTGCTTGTGTCCTCATCAGACCCATGTGCTCACATGGACACATCAACCTTAAGTCTTTCCACTGTTCCTGAGGGCACTAATGAATGTAATTATGGTTTGTGCAAGCAGAAAACATGAGAAGACCTGAGTGGATGTTTCAGAATCAAAATCCATCTGAATTTATTACAAGCCACATTTTCCCTGTTTCAAGTACTGCTCTGGATTAGATCCTGTCATATTTAACATTGGCTGCTACAATTACCTGATTTCTGCACAGACATCAATAATGTTCCAGCAGATCTTTAGATAGCTCCTTCCTGTGTATTTTATAGAAACGATTCAATTTATCCACAGGATCCAAATTACTCGAAAGCCCATCCTCCTTAAAAGATTCAAAGCGAGTTATTTTTCACAGGCAGAAGGAAATATGATTACTTCTAGTGACAGAGAGAACACGACACAAAGACTCTTGTTCAGGATCATTTTACTAGTTTTATCTAATCTGTGTGCTCCTCAGAGAAAAATATACATTTTACACTGTAACACAAGATTGATTTAGGTTCAGGATCAAACAATGCAAGGCAATAAAAGACATATTTAGTTGTGATTATACCGATAAGGACATTACATATGCCTGAATAATTGTATTTATATAGGAAATAATTGACCAGGCAGTTTTTGCAACATGAACACTGACTTTGATTTAAATATAAAGGAGAATGTGTGCTTGCATCACTTAAACATGCACATGCACATGCACACACACACAGATTCACATGGACTAGCGCACTAAATCAATGTGACTAAATCTCATGTCACACGTGTGAATGAGGATGTTCACAGCCCACAGCAACAAACTCCACCTTAAGTTCACTCACTCATTGGATGTGGAGCGACTGACTGCATCAACTGATGGATTAAATAAACATCAAAGATCAAGATCCATGAATTATTTCCTGGGAAAAATGTCGAAAAACTATATAAACTCTCGCAGTGTTAAAGAAAGTGATAAAACATCCAGGATCCTGAACAAAATTTAATGGGCCCTTCTCTGACCCACATCAAGCCGATCTGAGAGATAAGAAATCATGTTGCATGCACGTGTTGATGAGCCGTAACTATTACTAGAAATGCTGTTGTTTGAGGGATCCTCATGCCCCAGTCATCAGGGAAGCACAATGGTGTCTCCTCTCCAACAAATGATCCTCCACCCACGTTTATTTGCACGAGAGATTATTGAAACATGTGCAGACACATAAAAGCCCACAGTCACAAGAAGACACACGTGGAATTAGCTGGATCTGCAAATTATTTAAAGACATCATAGAAGCTTTTACCTGCTTGTCAAAAGAGCATACATCATCTCGACACACACACACACAACCACTGTACTTCTGTCTTCGTGAGGACACTCGTAACTTCCACCAAGGAGGGTTTTAGATTTCCATGAAATTTGGAGGAAGGATGGAACATCTGGACAAAAGCGCAGATTTAAGATCAAGATTTAAGATTCAAGATATTGAGATTGTCAGATTTCTCCGAGAATAATTCATGGATGTAGATGACAAAAAATCTGACATGTTTATGGGACTGATATCAATGAGTGTAACCATTTGGTGCAGATCCAAATAAAAATCTGGATCTTGTGAATGTAAGTTTCATAAGGGGGCTGTGAGGCCTTGATGGAGGAATGTGCTCTTGTCAGTGTCATTCTAGTTTGTTTGTCTGTCTCCTATCAGCCTTGGTGGAGGTATGTCCTTTTGGTTATGTCAACTTGAAGGGCCCTTCACTACATGACAGATTCCCCCATAGCCCCATAGCATAACTTTAACCATCACAACTAAATACCCCAACATTTACCCTAAGACCGGCCAAAATGTCCTTACATTGTCCTGTCTATAACTTAAACTGGCTTCAAACCACCTGTTTTAACGTTGTGTCTGATCCGTGTACACAACATCTCTGGTGACAAACACATGAGAACAGGATCACAGGATAATAACTGGATGTTTATTTCATTCTATGGTACAGGGGTGTGATTGGAAAACAAGCAGAGGCCTTCTTTGGAACCGTGCCACTGATTGATTTCTTCAGTGAAGCATTTTATTGTTGGGATGAATGAAAGTCAGACAGCCTGGCAAACACAGAACTAGTGATATGACAAGAGAACTTGACCAAAAGAGATGTTACACAAGATTTTATGAATTACTCTTATGATGAAAACTCTTCTCAATGATGTGCTGATGTGACATCAAACTTGAGAATTAATGGAAAATGTTTGGACAAGATTTTCTTTCTTTCTTTTTCTTTTTTTTGAAATATTGTCTAAGAAGCTCCCATTTTCAGATTTTTGAGGTACTACCATAAGAATATATGGATCAATTAAAAGATTCAATAAAACCAAACTTATGTTCAAAGGTGTGTTCTATAACTATAGAATGTTGTTTCCCTTTAAAGGAACAGTTTGATATTTTTTGACACTTATTTGCTTTGACACAGAGTTAGATGATAACTTTACAGCAAGGAGTTTTCATATTTATCCGAAATATACGAGTGGTACCGATCGTCTCATCTAACTCTCTGTAAGAGACCAAAATGTCAAACTGTTCCTTTGAGAAAACCCCCAAAACATTTCATTAGACCGACCAACACCTTGAGATGTTTTCTCAATGAGTTCAAGTGCTTACTGACGACAAGAGTTTTGTCCAACATGTGAGATATGAG